ATGCTATACTTCAATTAAACCGTACTATGCTATACTTCAACTAAACTGTACTATGCTATACTTCAACTAAACCGTACTATGGTATACTTCAACTAAAACATACTATGGTATACTTCAACTAAACTGTACTATGCTGTACTTCAACTAAACCATACTATGCTATACCTCAACTAAACCATACTATACTATACTTCAACTAAACCGTACTTTTACTATAAAGTAAAAAAATCCAAAAAACCCACACAACTAATTTGCTGTGAAAGCTTTCATGCAGATCACAAAAACATGTTATTTAAAAAAATTAATGTCTAGCAGTTGTCTCTAAATAATACAGGAGGATTAATGATTGACTATGCCTTCTTCAGTGCTGAAACCAAAATGAGGTGCATCACAGTTCATTGTACTATTCTGCCCACTCTTTGGTGTTTTAAACTTGCCATTATAAACAGAGTGTGTGTGTGTGTGTGTGTGTGTGTGTGTGTGTGTGTGCGGGGGACGATGACGATGAAACCAATGCTCATACACATAATAGATTTAAAATGAAAAAGTGCTAACCTATACCAAAACCAGATTTACTGCTATTGAGTTGGCTCCAACTCACAGTGCCCTTGTAGAGCAAAAATTAAAGCACACACAATAAGTACCACAATGTATATTAAAAATGACACAATTAGAAGACATTATGTAATTCAGCACATATGTTTACAGAGTTAATATTAAAAGTTTTTCATTATTATTTTTAAAATATGAAAGAATCAAAAGCTTGAAGAAAAATTAAGCATGGAGTGTAAATGGTATATCTATATAAGAAATATAAAGATATAAGAGGCTCAAAGAAAAACTGCTAATGACCAAAATATTCAATAATAAGAAAATGGTTAAATAATTTGCTACACAACCTTAAACAGGGACATATATACAAATACTAGAAATGGTGATATGGATGATACCCATTGATATGAAAAATGCTGCAATAAAGTGCTAAGTGAAAGAAGACTAGCCAAAGTGTATTCACATCCTATCATTTCGAGTTCTAATTACATCTACATACAAACACACACACATACACACATGCACATGTATACCAAGGAAGCCTGGTGGCCCAAAGCTTAAGCACCGGAGGACGAAGTGCAATGTTGGTGTTGCAAATGCACCAGCTGCTTGGAGGTCAAGAAATGAGGCGGTCTACTCCTGTCCAGTCCCAAACTGAGAAACCAAAAGGGCAGTCCTACTCTGTCTGAGACGGTTGTTATAATCAATAAAATCAGAACGACACACAAGCCTATAAAGAGCTGTTATCTCAAGTGGTAGGAAAACTGTACTTTCCTGAGTTTTCTCATCAGTTTTGCTTTATTAATTTTTAAAAACAATGAATATATATTCATTTTATAATAGAAATACTTTTATAAGAGAATGCATTTAAGTCTTTTCTGTTTGGAGACATGTATGTAGCACTTTATAGTTACCAGATACCTTCTTTAGCTAATGGAAATTAAGTTTATTGATAACAATCAGGATGAAACAACCTATTGAGAAAAGTCACAATTCTTACCTTCTGGAAAGAAACGGATGAGAACAAGTGTTTTGAGATCCAGCAATGTAGTGGAAGCAGGAAATCTGCGGTGCTCAGGGTCTTCACGAGTCCCTGTAAGGGAGTTCCTCTTCTCTCTGAAACAGGAGCAATAGAGGTACACATCTTTATTTAAAGATTGGTTTTCAAAATTACGTTTAAAGTATTATTTGATCTTTATTTTTTCATTTCTCAATATAAATGTTTATGGGAAACAACCAGGGACCGGGGTATTAGTCACTTCTAACTATCCTGCAGGAAGTCAAAGGACACTTACTGGATCAATGCATTGTTTTCTCTTTCATCCCTTCCCTCCACACTGAGTAATATGAGGGGCTTCACAAAGTTAGCGGGAAAAGATGGAACTAAAAGATGCAGACATTTTCCCGGGAACTGTTTGAATCACCTATCACCAAAAAACCCCACTGCTGTTGGGTGTGTTCTGACTCCTCGCAGCCCAGGTGATCGCTACTTGACATACTTACAAGGCATAGGATACTCCTATCTTTTTCACGAGCTTATTAATGTATTCTAAAGAAATATTCTAAAGAAATAGAATATTAATGTATTCCAAAGAAAAATTCTAAGAAAAATATTAATGTATTCTAAAGAATTAATGTATTCTGAGAAAAGTTATGTAACTGCATCTCTACTATATGTCAAAAGGAGCCCTGCCCTGGTTGGACTACTATATGTCAAAAGGAGGCTGTCTGAACCCTTAATGATTCAAAGCCTTGGAAAGCCTAAGGCGCAGTTCTATTCTGCTCTACAGGATTGGTTTGAGTAGGACTTGACTTGATCCCAGGGGGTTATTATATGCCATATGCGGTGCTAAGTCTTTTAATCTCATTTAATTCTTCCAGCAGCTTATTTGCTCAACGATAGTAGGTGCTTACAAACAAGCCATTGAACGAGAAAGTTATGTTCAAAACAACTGCACCATTCTACTTTAATTCTAGATTTGAGTATTGTAAGTGAAGCTAAGAGCTTAGTTTGTGTAAACTAATGTACACTCAAACACTTTAGTTTCTATTTTCTCATGTCAATCCTATTATCACCAGCCTTGCAATACTTTTATAGACACATATCACATTAAATATGGAGGAGCTGATGCCAGGGGCTTAAGTGGAGAGCAAACGTTTTGAGAATGTTGAGGGCAACGAATGTACAAATGTGCTTCACAGTTGATGTATGTATGGATTGTGATAAGAGTTGTATGAGCTCCCAATAAAATGTTTAAAAAAAAAAAAACCAAACACTTTGGCAAGGCAAATCCAAGTGGCCAAGGGCTACATGGATACGGTCAGGGTTTAAAAAAAAAAAAAAAGGCTGTCTAAGAATTGTATACTCCGGAAGGAGATGAGCCAGTCAGGGTGGGATGTAGCAACGATTAAACATTCAACTTTCCTCTAGTTCCTAAATGGTTCCCCTCCCCCCCACTATTATGATCCCAATTCTACCTTACAAACCTGGCTAGACCAGAGGATGTACACTAGTACAGATAGGAACTGGAAACACAGGGAATCCAGGGCAGATGATCCCTTCAGGACCAGTGGTGAGAGTCGCGATACCAGAGAGGGTGGAGGAGGGTGGGTTGGAAAGGGGGAACCGATTACAAGGATCTACATATAACCGCCTCTCTGGGGGACGGACAACAGAAAAGTGGGTGAAGGGAGACGTTGGACAGGGCAAGATATGACAAAATAATAACTTATAAATTATCAAGGTTTCATGATGGAGGGGGGAACGGGGAAGGAGGGAAAAAAATAAGGACCGGATGATGCCAGGGGTTTAAGTGGAGAGGAAATGTTTTGAGAATGATGAGGACAATGAATGTACAAATGTGCTTTACACAATTGATGTATGTACGGATTGTGGTAAGAGTTGTATGAGCCCCTAATAAAACGTTATGCCTACAAAATCCAGCAGCCTCTCTGAGGGAGAAAGATGAGGCTGTCTGCTCCCATACACATTACAGTCTCGGAAACTCAATGTCTACTCCATTCTATTATCACTGAGTTGGAATCAACTTGATAGCAGTGGCTTATCCTATGACCTCATCCACAGCAAGAAATGGTCTAAAACACCTAGCACAGCACACACACACAACTGAGTGAATCATACAGCAGAATGTTGAATATGCTATCACTTAGTCTTTGGACGGGGTCCCTAGAAAGGCAAAACCAATAAAGCATACACACACACTCACTCATATGCACACAGACTTATTCTATTAACTTTCAGTTCCATTTTCCACAAACTTTTGGAAGTCTCTCTATTCTACAACTCTGTGTACAGGTGGGGCTTCAAAAAGTTCCCAGAAAAATGAAACTAAAAGATAAAAATAAAACTTATGAGCTTTATTTTTTAATATAAACTTCATCAAGACCAAGACACTTTTGCAAGCAATGATACTAGCCAATTGGACCATCCCTAAACCACAGAGAGTTGGGAATTTAAACTTCACTATAATCTTTTTTACACTGTTGGCTGCAGAAAAATGAGTACCCTTGAATGTTTTTTTTTATTTTTTAAAGATTGAGAAATCAAAAGGAGCCAAATCAGGACCATAAGTTGGACACCTAATAATCTGAGCAAGTCTCAAAACTGGCTTCCATCTGAAGGGAGGAAAGAGCACTGGGGGGCTGAGAAGGTCTCTTGGTGAAGTTTTCCAGAGAGTTTTCCTGCTAAAGCTTTGGCCAACTTTTTATAACATCCTCACCAAGAGCTGATTTTATCTTTCTTTGACTCTCCATAAAGTCAACAGTACTTTATCAAACCCACAACAACTGTTGCCACGAGCTGTGCTCTTGGCCAGCCTGTTATCACTCTGGCGGGATCACATTTACATCTCTTGGTAGCTCTTGCTTTGGTTGTGCTTTGCCTTCAATATTGAACTGAAAAGGTGTAGTATTTCATTTCCTGTTAGAATTCTTCAAACATGCATTTGCGGATCTGGATTTCACTTGTTTAAAAATTTCCACCGACAGTTCTGCTCTCATCTTTAGCTGACCTGCCTTGAGTACAACAGCTTTGGCACCCATTGCCCACAGGGTTTGATCAATTATGTTTCTCGGTCAGAACTGTGTAAGCTGGATCAGTTGAGATGTCTATGGTCTATATCAGTGGTTCGCAACCTTCCTAATGCTGCGAACCTTTAATACAGTTCCTCATGTGGTGGTGACCCTCCAAACATAAAATTATTTTCGTTGCTACTTCATAACTGTAATTTTGCCACTGTTATGAATCGGGCGACCCCTGTGAAAGGGTCATTTGACCCCCAAAGGATTCGTGACCCCCAGGTTGGGAACCACTGGTCTATATGATCATTTCTGCTCTTAATTGTTGATTCTCTTCAGTTGGGCACAGACAAGATTCATTTATTCCTTGCAAATTGACATAACTGGTTGCCTACTGCAGGCTTCATCATCAAAATCATCTCCTTCCTTCTTAAAAGGAATTTTATTGAAATTTCTCACTAATTAAGATTAAAAGTATCACTACATTGTAATTTCAATGAGACATTTCTCTTTGGAACATTATATTATACCTGGGTAAGTCAAAAAGTATTTCTACAAAATTCGAGAAATCTTTATTGAAATATTAAATCATGATGCTATTATTCCTCCCCATATCCTCCTTCTAGGTCTATGCACTTTGAAGGCCATATTCTGATCTCTCTAGCCCTAATCTGAACACTTGTGCTTTCTGAGATGCTTCACGCCAAAACAGCAGCTTTGGCATCATTGAGGGCTCATTATATTCCTTCCAAATGTTCTTTGAGTTTGAGGAACAAAAAGAAATCAGAAGGGACAAGATCAGAGTTGTAGGGTGAATCAGATAAGGTTTTCACACGAAATTCTCACAGGACAACCCATGTCGCCGTTGAAGAACGAGCAGGTTCATTGTGGCGATGGAAAGAAACTTCCCTCGGTGTAACTTTCCCGTCCTTGTTCTCACCCATGCCATTTCCAATTTTCTTAAAAGTTCTTCCTACTAAGCCCCATGATAGTCCTGTGTCCAAGGAAATGTATCCGACCACCCCTTTGGAATCTCCCCCAACAGTTGCCATAACCTCTGAGCTGGTCTCCTGTTCTTAAACTTAATGGGTCCAGCAAATCCCCTTGGGAAAAAAGCCACTCTATTTTGATTACCGTATACACTCGTGTATAAGCTGAGTTGTTCAGCACATTTCTAATGCAGTTTTTGTGGTAAAATTAGGTGCCTCAGGTGATATTCGTGTTGGCTTATACTCGAGTACATACAGTAGTCTTTCCTCTCTCTCCGTTTCTGAAGGCACTCAAGAGTCCTGGTGGAGTAGTGGTTACTTGTTGGGCTGCTAACCACAAGCTGAGCAGTTCAAAAGCACCAGCAGCTCCTTGAGAGAAAAATGGGGCTTTCTATTCTGTAGAGTTATGATCCCAGACACTCACAAGGGCTGTTCTAACCTTTATTACACAGTTGTTATGACTTAGAATCAACTCAATGGCAGTGAGTTTGATTTTTTTTTATTTTAAGGAGATCTTGAGAGAACTAATCTACAATTATCTACTGACTGCACAGACATATTTAAATACATTTTATTTAGAACAGAAAAAAAATAATTTTTATTTTTAAATAAATTACTGCTGGGGACAAACTCCTAAGTGCCCACTCATGTTGTAGCAAACAGAGGATATGGGATAGCATTATAATGAATAAGAAACTAATAATGCAAATTTACTTTTCTATAATTGAATCTACCTGAATTGATTAAGAGTTTATGGTAGATCGATCTAGACTACACTACAGTGAAATTTAGCAAAATCAACATATGATTTTGACTTAGCTATCTTAAAAGGTGCCAGCACATTAGAAACAAGGTGAATGGCCATTATTTGGTAAATAGCTGAATAAACTTGTACATTCAAACCACTTAACATGAACAAACCATTTAAAAATTAGTTAAAGGGGAGATGGGGAGTGAGGGGATTTGGGGAGTAAACAATGAAGGTGGGAAGGGGAGGGAGCACTAGAACTGAAAATGATTGCACAACTGATTTTAAAGGTGCTTTAATCATGGGCGGGGGGTAGTTCTGAAATTGATTATGGTAATGAT